CTCTCTCTCACACACACACACAGACACACACAGACACACACACACACACGATGTTTTTTTGTTGTTGTCAGGAGCCAGCGAATAAAAGACATCATCATGTCGTCACCGCTTTTGAAGGGGCAGGTCAACTCAAAAAAAAAAAAAAAAGTGATCTCATCTGCCCTTTTTGACAGTCATTTGACAAAAATTGCACGGCAACGACTCGGCTCACCTCGTGTGTACTTGTTGTTGGCACGAAGCGACAATTTACGACCTGGTCAGCTGGGTTTTTGGTGATGGATGTATTATTTACAGTATGAGCAAAATCATCTTTTTTTTTGTGGTTCGGTTTTATGTCACCAGCAACATCCCATTGAAATTCTGAATCTCTTTTTTTTTTTTTTTGCAAAGCGGGTCCTGTCCAAATCAACAGCACAAACATTCCACATCAAGCAGCCACCCACACACGCACGCTGCAACTGTTCCGGTTATGCTAATCACAACAATGCATCATCGCCAGCGGCGTTCGGAAAGAAAACAAGAGGATTCACGACTTACGAAGGCGCCTAATTATCGCTTCAAAGTGCTACATCATCCAATTTAAGGTGATGGCGGAAATTAAACAATGACGCAAATGCTTTAAATGCACTTTTGTCGAAGACATTTCTTATCCAGGGAACGACAATTAAATAAACCGTCCATTGGAGTGGTGATGAGTCCCGGTGCTGACTTTTGGAAACATGAGGCGAGTCACATAGAATGACCTTATTAAAAAAAGTAGTGGCCGCTGTCCCTGAAAGGGTGAAGTGACTTTGATGTGGTGCTGTTCTACATCCCTGTCTGTCAGATGAATAAATGCCCCCCACCCCCTAAACAAAAATCTGTTACAAGTACCGCGAGGAAGTATATCAAAGAAGCTTCGGTGTGTTCATGATGTATAAATCTTGCCCATTGGGGAAAATGCTAACTTCTCTTTGCTCCTCCTTAACCGTTTTAGGGGATGGGGGGGGGGGGGTTTCCCCCAGCGGATTATCAAACAAAATGCGTACAATGATAAATTTATGATCTGGTGTATTGCTCTAAACCAATAAAAAAACCTTTAGGGTGGCCTGTTATGGATTGTTGTTTAGGTAAATGGCGATGGGGAAGAGGGAATTTAGAGGAGGGGAAAAGCGAAGAGGCCATCACTTGCGCGAACCAACCTCCAGCTCAGCACTCCTTCAAGCGCCATCCCCCGCGCGCACTTTATCATTTCTATTCGATCACGCCGGGTGCGGTAGGAACACACACACACACACACACACACACACACACACACACACACACACACACACACACACACA